CAGGAAACACAAGAAGGCAGCATTCGCAGCAAAGTTGCAGAAAGCTGCGCTTGATGATGCTGTTGTTTGTGCCCAGCTTACTCCATGCCTCGCTGGGAAGCACATTGTGCTGGAAAGTACCTACACCCTGGTCTAAGAGCATATAAATCATCGCTGAACTATCTCAGGCAATGCTTTCAAGGAAAAGCTGGCAACTGCTTTTGCACAGCCCGGCATCTCTGTCTGTTGCTGGAGATACCATCAGCCCTCTCCAACTGCACCAGGCACGTCCATCCCATGGATAGGTGCTTTCACGGTCCTAACGGTGAAGTTAAGCCATTTTTCCTGACAAGCATTAAGAGATTAAACGCCTGGTGTTAAGAGCTCTCCCACTTCATTTGCTAATGTTAAAGCAAAGATTCGAAGATGTGTTATCCCTGCCCACAACTCCTCCCAGGCTGGGCTTCAGCTCGTCCCAGGGCACTGATTCCTCCTGGCATCCCCGCAGTAACGAGATGGGTCCGTCAGGAGCCAAAGCCAAGTTCACAGGAGCAAACGACTCCCTTTTGCGCTCCCTGGGCCACATGCACGTCCCATTCTCTCATGTGTGGCCTGAGATGCATTAGAGCAGCTGCACCTTGACCAGTTTATAATATTGTAGTGCTCCAGCCTTGCAAACACTGTTCCTTTTTGCTTCCTCCTTGTCTCCCTTGGTTAAAATAAGTCCATTTGATTAAGAAGAATCAAAAGCACCCAAATGAATTAACTTTCAGAGGACTTTTGGGAAGCATTGCTATTACTGCTGCCTATCAACAGCAGGGAAAAATGTCCAAGCTTTTTAAAATTGATCAAAATCTTTTTAAAAATTATCAAACCTTTCAATTGCCTTGAGATCCAGATCCAGACTTTGACAGCAATTACCATCATCCTCCGTTTCTAGGAGAATTCAGCACCCATGCCCCATTAAACTCCGTTAAAAGGGATAATTAGCAGGAGACTGACAGTAATTTAGCCAGTTCATTTATCAGAAGGGATAAAGCCAACCTGAAACACATTAATGTGAGGGTCTTAAAACTGGTATTATTCTGTGCTGTTGTGCAACAAACGCGTCGCTAGCGGAAGGGACGCGTACCACGGTGTTAGTCAGGATTGCTGGGGTGTAAATAATGTTTTGCTTCATAAAGTCTGGCTAGGGCGAACAAATTATTTAGCTCTCATACTACAGCTGAATTAAGAGCTCAAATGTATAAAAGAGTGTATCTAAGAATCGATAGTGGATCACCGAAGCATTTAATCACTGTTTTACTAATCTCCCTGCACTATCTGAACTCAAACTGACTTCTCACACTAAAATCAATGGCGCTAATATACTCATTAACGACGGCTCTTTCGGAGGAATGAAACCATCAGAGTTTGAAAAACTAACTGGGGGCAGAGGAGCTGAAAGCCGTGAACAGCGATTGGGCTTGTGCTCTAACACTTCCTGGGGGAGCAAGAAACTCTCTAAGAATTCCCTTACAGGAATTTCCACTGCAATCTTCTACCGAGGGTAAGCGGCTGTGACTACGCATATAACAGCACATCCCCGAGAGGGGACATCTGATGCAGGGACTGAACCAGGACCCATGGATCTACAGCCACGGCTCCTCTTTGGGGTGAGGCTTGAGAGCTGGCTTCAACTCTCAGCGCTGCCCACACCGGGGATTTCTGCACGTGCAAAGTGCCTTTGTTTCCCAGTTCTGGTTCTGCTACCTTGCATCGCTCTGTATCTCACGAGGCAGACGTTTCCTATTAGTTCAGGGGCTATGCAAGACTTTTTGGGGCAGCTGTTGCCTTTGCATCCCACACTGCCTCTTATTTATGCTCTTCACCAGTAGCTAAAGCGTTTGCCGCATCCTCCTGCCAGGCTTCCCTGAATGACTATCTCAGCTCTGACCTGCAGATCTGACACTCCTGTCCCGACACTCGTTTCTCCTAAGTCTGTCAGTTCGGCTGTGATAGCTTCTGCTTGGCATCTACAGGCTCCAGACAGTCTCTCCCCAAAGGATTTTCTGAAAGACATTGAATTTCTGACCAGGGTTTCGTCAGGCTGCCTGGAAAAGGATGTTGCTCAAAACTATTCAAAGATAGCATTTTCTTATTTTTTATGCAATTATTGAACAAATATCAGAATGCAAAATTGCCCCTGGGATTGGAAAATGGAATTAAATCTTCCAACAAACATGCGAAAATGGATACCGACATCTCTATTAGCAACAAAATGTTTCACGCTTAGAAACTGGTAATCTAATACCCCTCCAGGGAATCCTGAATAGTGAGAAAAAATGGCCTAAGACAGCATTAGAAAGAAAAAGAGATATACATACATTCAAGTGAGACACAAACTGGATGTGGGGTGGGCAGGAGGGCGTCCTTGCGTCAGTCCCACCTCGGTGTGTTCACAGGCAGTTCAGGTCGTCATTAGTGGAAAGCAACGGCCCAGATCCTCTGCGGTTCCCAGCCGTGCTGAGCCAAGCATAATCAGGCACAGGAGGTCCACCTCACACAGGGTGCATCCTCCAAGCTGTTGGTGTGGCCACTAAGCTGTATCGACCCCTGCAAGCAGCGAGAAGGGCAGAGCCGGGACGCATGGTGTGGCTGAGCTTCTTCTGCAAGCACCAAGCTCCAGCCTGTCTTGGAGGGCTCATGGACAGCACGATTCAGACCAACTTTGATGGCACTGGCTTACACCAGCTGGGCAAACTGGTGGTCCAGCACCATGTATGACACAATGACGAAACACCCCTATTTCACCCAAGCGATACAAGAACTGTCCCAACACACATGGGAACATCTCTGTTAGAGACACGGTTTAGTGGTGGACTTGGTAATGGTAGGTTAACGGTTGGACTCGATGATCTTAAGGGTCTTTTCCAACCTAAATGATTCTATGACCTCCAGCATGCTGCTTTCCTACAGGACACAGGATTTTTCCTGTGCTCGCTTCTCAAGCCATAACTCTGGGAAACAACCGACTCCCAGCGTAACAGCCCAAGAGCTGAAAACAGCATCATCAACCAAGTTACACCATGCAGTCCAGAAGAAGGAGCACCGTTTGGCACAGGGTGAAGTAGGGGCGTGCAACCACACCTGGGGGCTGGTATGGTTCAGCAGAAGGGAAAAGTTGGCACCGCAAGTTTGGTGTGTTGCCCCAGCTTTGTTTTGTTATAACACCAACCTGGTCATCCTAAGGAGGAACCACCTGGCCAAAGCTCCCCTTTGAATTTACTGTCCCGAAGAATCAACAAATGACATCCTGGTTGCACAGGCCATTTGCGCGGCTCCTACGCTGGATTTTAACAATGGTACAATTCTCAAAGACAATACACAACCTAAAAGCACTCATACACAACCTACAAGATGCCCACCGGCCTGCCTTCCCTTTCCCTCCTCCTCCCGAGAGCACTGTTCATCTAAAATGGCTTACCCCATTCTCTTCTATTCTGCATTTAATGGCTTTTGAACTTCAAAGAGAGGGGAGAAAACCCTATCGCTTCACCATGCAGCGAAAGAACACCTGAAGAACACCTAAAAAATATGCTGCTAAAATAAACTCCCATTTGAACTCTTCCTATAATATTTTACAGAGAGCTCAGAAGATGCTGCCCTTCTTCCCACACAGCACTGAAGGACCTACTTCACTTTAACCAGGTACACGCTCTTCTTGGAGTCGAAAGGACTAATCATGTGCTTAAAATTATGCATTTGCCTGAAGTACCTGGTTGAATCCGAGCTTTTATATCTAGAAGTTGCATGGTATAAATTGGAAACATTATTCCTGGGTGAACGTTATACATACATTGGCAGATATATTCCAAAATTATCCAAGAAATCAAACTATTTATTGTTAATAGAATATGTCCAACTCCAGCAGACTGCTTTGAAAATCTAAACTAAAAATGTGCACAATGTACTATATATGAATATGGATACCCCACACACTATGTGTATGCCTCATGTATAGAAAATAGCAGAGCAGAAATGCTCTAAACATAAATTGAAAATATGTGAGATAAGATTTTAATTGTGGTTTTAATAACAGCAAACTGCTGGAGCTACCTGCTTGTTATTAGTCTTGAAAAAATACAGCATGAAAATAATATTTTAACCTTTCATCTGTAACATGGTCTGTGCTAATAAAATTATCCCAGAGTCATCCAAGCACATAGCTGGTGTCAACTACTTAATATGCAGAATAAATTAAATGCCACTTACATATAGAAAAGAAATACCTGGCTAGTTTCATGCACTTTCATGCCGGTCCTTATGCTGGCTCAGCCACACAAGAAACACGGTCAGGCCCTGGGTCTCCTCTTCAAATCCTGCCCTTCTGCAAGAAAATCATCCGATCCGCTGCTCTACTAAGCCACCCCTTTGCAAGGCCATCATCGCTCTGCCCATCGTGCTGGGAGTGCTGAAACGAGCTCTGTCACATGTGCTGGGTCTTTGCAATTGCAAAACACTGTGCATTTATTATATTACGAGGAGGCCAGGTCCCACTGACAACACTTGAAATATTGTGGAAAGACAGTAACAGAGATTTGAGAAGAGTGGGGCACCTGGCACACTTGCCTACCATTAACCAAGCCATTAATAATAACAATCCTACTTCATCTTTCCAAAGCAAAAGTCACCTTGATGAGACAAACACCCTTATCTCCATTTCAATCCAGCCACGTGCCTCCCACTACCAGAAATGAACTCACTGGTACTTTATCTGACATGCTGGTGGTGAACAGCCCATAGAAGTCAACAGAAAGACTCTTGATAACCGATTTCTTTCCATCAGGTATTAAAATTCTCAATATTCCCAATCAAATACATGGAATGCCAGGAGGGATCTTTCCCAAAAGACCACACTTTCTCCTCCTATTTAGTGACATACGAGCAATAATCAATATAAAGAACATATGAACAGAGACAAAAAAACCAGAAGGTGCTGGACATCAAAAAACTTATCTGCCAAAAGTGTCTTTTGCTACCTGCAGAATAAGGCTCCTGCTTCTCGCTGTGAATGAACTCTTTTCGTTCGTATTTGGCTCTGATCCATTGTTCCCGCAGCAGTCTGAAAAAAAAAATACAGAGAAAAGGAAACATGGTCCAAGATACACTAAGGAAGAATCCAGAATCATTAATTCTTCAATCAAAACACAAGTGTCATTTAAAAGCCTTCCAAAAATTGCATTGTACAGTCTGGAGTCAAGGGTTTCTTCTGTTTACTGTTGGACGACGATAAATCGTTTCCTTGTACATCCAATTTTATTGGAAACTTATTTAATAAAATTTACAGATTTAGCAGAATAGCCCATTCCCACCCATCCAATCAACCTCTGTACAAAATTCCCTCAGTATATGAACAATTTTAAACCCAATTTCCTCAGACTACCTCCTTCAGTAAATGGGATCAGTAAATGAAAAAACCAACAAACTGCATACAAAAGAAAAATCTTTGCCCTGAAGCTATCAATATGGAAGCAGAAATTGGGTATGCCTTGTGCATGCCATGTGCATGATGGCCTTTCGGCAGTCAAAGCTGCAGAGATACTGTCTCCTTGTCACATGTGGACAGCTATTCAAAAAAATTGTGATGTGTCTGGTTAAAATTATACTTGTAACGACGAGGGGAAGCCCAGCCCAAGGATGGGTGACACTTGTGACTTGCTGAACACGGAGCTTGCTGCAGGGTGTCACGCACCTCCCAAACTAGGAACAACAGGAATTCAAATGAGAGGTGACCTCTTCAAAACGAAAGGTACATAGGACAGTCATATCCCAGGCCCTAGCCAACCTCTTGGAAGGAACTGGGGTGTGAAAAGTGAAAAAGCCTCAAAAAGACCAGAACACAGCTAGGCAAGGATGTGAGGGCTGAGCCCTGTGGAACGCAGGACCCAAACACCGGAGGGTGGTGGTGAGAACCCACCTGGCAGAGCTCTTCCAAACTCATAGCCTGTACTGCGAAGTCTAAGAAAGAAATCCATGATGCATGGCAGAAAACATGCCTATTATACTTCTCATGTTGAAAATGATACCAATGATTTTTACACCAAGACCTTAACTTCCAAAAAGGAAAAAGTACCACAAAGATTATAAATACTTTTTTGCTATTTTATTTTAGCATGAGTGCTGGAACTAATGAAGTAGTTTAGATCTAGAATATGCTAGAAATTGCTTCAAACCATTTTTAACTGCACGTACTTCTTAATTGCCCCGGAACCTTAAATAACCCAAGCAGGCAGAAATCACAGGCAGGTGTCATCCCAGCTTCACGGCAGACATTTTGAAGTGGCCCACACTGATGACAGTAAAAGATCCCCCAGCATTGGGCGTGCTCTGTAAAACCCATCACACTTCAACACATCAACTTCTCCACCAATGAAAACTGTCGATATGCTTAATTACCTTTTCTTTTTTGCTGACTATGCAGATTTAATGCTATCTTTTCAGCAGACACATTCCAGAAATGCTCAAAGAAGATAAGTGTACTAACATTGCTTATGAAAATTCATCTGCAGGTACAGCAAACACATTCATCAAATCCGCAAGACACTATTCAACGAGAACTGTGGCTGTAATCGGTTTCCAGGCAGTAAAGGAAGAAATAATTACACGTTTTGTCCCACCCATTGCTTCATCTCCTTAGTTGGGGAACCAGCCTTCTCCCACAAGGCTCAGGGAGCGCCATAGCTTCCCTGCACCCAAAACTCAACTGTGAGCTGCTGCTGTAACAGAAATAATGCACCAACTCTGCCTTTCCCCCTTCTGTTCCTGTTTTCATGACTGATCTTTAGTTGTTACACACACATCTGCAAGTTTGACTGTGAACTCTGAAGATGAACATCCATCTCCCTTCTGCTGTCACCCTGTGCTACGCTTTGGTTTGGGTACCACCCATCTTCAGTTCATCTCAGGAGGTTCAGATGCGTTTTGTAGAAGTGTGCAAGGGGGCTCTTCTGGGTTGAGCAGGATGCTCTTTCTGGATCTGATATCCACAACACGGTAGCCTGCAAACGTAGAAGACCGATGACCCAAAAGGTAGCACTTAATTGCCTGTTTCTATACTTCTGCTGCTCATCAACAAAGCTACCAAAATCTAATCATAAAATCAACACAAATACTTAAATTTGTTACCCTTCTTGCAATTTTTCCAGCCCGGCTGCTGCAGACAGCTTGTTATCATCACCATAGCCAAACTTGGACCTTTTCAACAAGACAACTAGGGATTTAACTAGAAGGAAGAAAATTCACACCACCCTCGGCTCCAGCTGACTTCGGTGAATTCAGCAGGAGCTGCAGCTGTTCTGAGTCTCTGAAAGTCAGCCTTCCAGTACGAATGTTTAAATACAGTATAAATTAAGGTTCATGTGCAGCAGTGGGAAAACACTCTTGCTGTATAATGCAGATAGTACAACAGATACACTCTGCTGGTCTCATGCCTTAGGGAACACCGCTCTGCAGTGACTTATTTCCCGTGACGCTGTCAGCAGTGGTGGTTCAACATCTCCACAGCTTTTGCGCAAGAGAGCGCAAATTGGGCAGCTGTGAGGCACCTTGCCCAAAGGGGTATCCTGAGAAGCTGCAAAATGCTGTCAATAACCTCTCCCAGTGTTTGGGACAGACCCAACACCCAAGAGTGGCTCCAATGGCAACTCCAAAAGCAGACAGGACTCCAGTCGTGCCGCTTTCCCAGCTCACAGCAAGCACTTTCCAACAGCTCACACATTCTTCCCCTTTCCTCATCATCACAAACCTAGGCTCTTTCAGCAATAATTTCCCAAAAAACCAAGATACACCAAGAGCAGCCCACGGTTAGGACAACTCAGCACAAGGCCAGTAGCTGCAGCTTCCGCTGCAATTGTTATTTATAGAAAGCAGAACAACTCCAGCAAAAGAAACTGAAACAAAACCCCAACAAGGACAGTGAGGAGTCCAGCATCTCCCTTCAGTGCAACAGAGAAGTTGAGCAGGGACTTGACCACACTCACTCTCATGGACTGGAGGCAATCCTTCCATAAAAAGCTGCTTTTGAGTCTGGCATTAAACCCTAGTTTCACTGGCACAGCTTGGATGAATTTAAACAGGAGCAGGAATTTGTCCTAGTATCTATGGGATCTGAGAGCAATAGGAGGGCAGGGGCCATCCAGAGGTACCTCAAGCCATACAGTCGTCTTCACCGTTTCAGTGGACTTCAGGCCTGATCTCCATTTCATTTTAAGTATGCCTTCAGGGGCCTTTTAAACATCTGTTGCTGTGTTTTAGTTGAAATATATTTTTCCTGAGGTGAATATGTATGTAAATAACCCAGAGCAGACATCACATGCTGAATACAGCACCCTCCATCCAACCCTCTCCTTTGATTTCAACAGGAGTTATGTGAACAGAAAGGACTGTAGCAACAGCCTCGTGATATTTTATTGCATTTCTGGTGATGGGATAATGTAGCAAATACGCCATTTGTGTTTGTTAGAAAAAAATATAAGTGCATCATTCCTAAACTGCGGAGATGCACAGCTTTCGGGATCAACTCCAAAAGCTTTAACAGCCCACCTAAAGTCTGGCAGGCTGCTGGTTACAGGGAATGTGTCATTTTTTGGCAATTAGAACAGAAAGGTCTTTGTAATTATCAAGATAAAAACCTGGGAGCAAAGAAAAAAAAAACACCACCAAAAAAAAAAAAAAAAACCAACCCACCTTAAGGAAAAACCATATTTTCAACAGAATAAGGGAAAATTCATCCCCCGAATGGAACAGGACTGGGCTGCACTGGGGAGGAGGCAGGTCCAGAGGCTGACAAAGCACCGCCAACACCAAGAGCTCCAAATCTCATTTTAGGTACTTGTTTTCATGTGGGTGGCCAGGCAAGCGAACAAGTGCTCTCTGTCAAAGGACCAGCGGGAAAGGTTTCAGAAGCCAATGGAACAGTTTTATCTTGGTCCCACATACTCAAAGGCTTTCACTCGCAGCAAAAAACACCACGGGAAAAGCTGTTCAAGCAGTTTAATATCAAACCACACTTGCGTGGCTTCGTTGCGCTCTATAGAGGAGTGCTGGCCAGCCAAATTTACAGTCTCCAATTTATTGTTACCCAAGACCCTCAGCTGGGCTGGCTTTCCTAGGACGCACTACAGTGCACACACCAGAGATGCTGCACGGCTGCTATGGCTTTTTGGAGACGTACGACAGTCAAGAAGCCCCAGCCAGAGGTGAAAGTGGCCCAAAAGACATCTAACACCACCCGCTACCACCCTCTGATTGCATCCTTGTGAGCCACCATCAATTCCAACAAAGACAAAGGAAATTAATGTCATCCAGGAATGCCATTTCCAAAACCCAAATTTGTAGCTTCTGGAATTTGTCAGAGGTTTTTCCAGTAAAAACAATCTGCTTTCCACAGGCAGCTCTGTGGACGCAGCTATGCCAAGTTTCTGTCAAACAACTGTTTTAATGAAATTTTAAGTCCGAGTCCAAATTTTTGCTCAGACTGCAAGGAGAGCCACTGCAGCGCAGACTAAAAGCCTGTCTAGCTTCACACCCTGCCTCTACATCTTTTCCTATCTGGTAAGTCCTCGCTGTGAGGACCTGCTTTTAAATGGCTTTGTGGAGGCATGAGACTGATGGGGGGCTTCTTCTAGGTGCTCTGTGCATCACCCCGGCTTGCCGAGCCCCAGGAGCGATGTGCCATCCACCCCCCAAGACCAGTGGCCAACAGCAAGCTTCTGGAGGAGAGCAAAAAGGCAGGGGTTTTGGCTATCAAGGCATAGAAATCTTGCATTACGGATTTGAAGAAGTTAAAGCTGAATTTGAGTATGCAAAATCATAACACACTCAATTAAAACACTAACCAATTCCTTTTTTGTTTGGTTGTTTTACATGCATGGTCCAGTTCACCACAACGCTATTTTTCAGAATGGTTAAACACAGATTTAAAACATGTAGGAGACAGCCTGTCTCGGTACTATCTTAACCTTGTAGCAATTTCTTTTGGAAATTAAAGGAATCAATATGAATTAACAGGCTTACGAGCTAACGACAAAGAGGAAATGAACAAGCAGAGAAGACCCCGCGGCCGGTTCGGACTGAAGGAGGGCAGATCTCAGGCACTCGGCTGACGGCAGAGCGATGCTCAGGCAGAGACTTCCCGAGGCCAAGTGCCCAGTTTGAGCCACCACAGGAGGCTCCACCACTTGGGAACTGATGAGCAGCCACTCTGAGAGGCCATGCTGCAGCACCTCGAGCTTTACACCCAAGACATCAGGCACTTTTGAAAGCCATGGATGTAAAATCTGAAGACCCTTATTAAGTAGGAGCAAAGTGAGCAAAACACTCAACTTCACCCCTCTGGACATTAAGCATTAAAGAAGTTTATCTATAAAGTACCAGCAGAAGGAGACAGAGGAAGAGGAGACCAGGTGAGAAGTTTGCATCCTTGACCATCATTATGCCCTGTGCAGGGGAGGGGAGGGGGCCAGACTGACCTTCAGACACCAGACTGAGGTGGTGGGCTCAGTAGCTCCTCTACCAAACGAACCAAACTTTAAGCAATAAAGTAAGAAAAAAAAAATCCAGGGATTTACTAGGCAATTTTCTCTCCGCACATTTTAATCGTACCGTAATACAATGAACCACTTCTGCTAACAACTGTTCTTCTTCAGATGACTATATAGATGACTCCTCAAGATGTGAGCCTCACTGGGATACATCCTTTCTCTGATTGATGTCTCATCTCATTCCAGATAAGACAACCACCCAGTACAACTCACGCCATTTCATTCTGCCCCATTTTTCCTACCAAGGTACTCAAATGTACTGGCAGTCAGTATATTTAAGTGTTCTGCATAAGGAGCAGATGTAGCTCCCACTTATCCAAGCACGGAGAGAGGAGCAGAGCAATGCACTGCAGCTCATACACAGTTCCGCAGAACGATGCTCTGTGTACCCGAATCAAGCAAAAAGGCAACAGAAAATGACGTTAAGTATTGGGCAGGGACATGGATGTACTTCCAGTACTGCAAAAGCCCAGTAAGACCTTGTCTCTATCTTCTTCTATCAGTTTTCAGGCAAGCATACAGCTGAACAAAGCCTTTTTCCTTTGCTTTTACTCAAAAGCGATGCTACAACTCTTGCTCACTGGTGACTCAAAACTCAACCATGTGCTTGCAGTGTATCTGCCCCAGAAAAGGCTGTTTTACAGCTCTCAGTCTGCTGCCATGGTGTACAAAGCTGGGCTGTGACCACTTGTGATCATCCAAAGAGGGGTTTTGTGGTTTAAGTTCCTCACCCCAAGGCTCTTTGGGCCAATGCTGCAGCGGTGTAGGAACATCCCAGAGTCTGAGATTCATTTCAGCCTCAGGGACTCCCCAGTGGTACAGAAGTTGGCTGCTCTGCTCACTGCTCCTGATGCATGGGCCAAGTTGCTGGCAGACAGAAGATGAGAGGAGAGGACAGAAGGGGATTTTTTTTTTGGTTGGGTGGGTTTTTTGCCTATGCACAGCTGGTAAATTTTCCCTGGGCAATTCCAGAGCATCCCTCCAACTTCTCTAACCTTTGCCAAGTGTCTGACAGAGCCAGGAAGCCACGATGGGATTTCTGGAGGATGCAGAAGCCAGATGCAGCAGGCAAACACCACGTATTTCCCAAGGAGTCAAACACAACATCGTAGGCAAGAAGAAAAAAGGACAAGCTGGCGCTGCAGCACTTCTTCCCTCTTGCTCTGAACTTTGCAAATCTTCAAGCAACCGAAGTAGAGGGATTCTAGAAGTAGCATTATAAAATTAAGAAGCTTCAAATGAACAAACAGCCTGTCCTTATTATGGCTCGCACATTAGCATCCTGCCGCGCTGAGTCTGAGGGCAGCTCCCACAAAGCCTGCCCAGATGCTGCAGCCGGCCAGCACGGGTTGTCGTAATTAGAAGCATCAGAACCTCTTGATGTTGCAGAATGTGGGTCGGCACACAATGGCATGGTGCCAGCACTGGATGGAGGTGTCATCCATCGCGATGCTACCCAGGGCTGCAAGCTGAGAACAACTCATGCTATTGCAGTGACTGGACTGCAGCGAGGTGGGGAGAAAGCTAAATATATACCCCTTTAAAAAGCAGCAAGCAACTAGTCTTGTTTAGCACGTATCTGTTGAAAGGCACAGAGGCCCTCTAACTAGAGAAAGAAAAATACAACCTAGCACACCATCCTCGAAACATTCCCAACATGCAACGTACCCACAGCTGCTTATACAGCAGCAGCATCAGAAGGCGATCTGTTACTGCAAGAGGTCGCATCTACCCCAATGCAGCCTGCTGCTATTGCAGAGACCCAGCAGCACCAGTCCGGAGAACACCTACATGAGCAGAGCTCCAGGCTCACTTCAGAAATCAGGGCATCCAGGCTGAAAATTATCCCAGTGCAAAATAGGCAAAAGTTGGGAGCAAAAAAGGGTCAGAAATTAGTCTTCCAGCTGCTTGCAGGAAGACTAGCCTTGCCTCATCCTCCCAATCAATCAATCAATAAATAAATAACCAAAAAGAAACAACAACAAAAAACCCCCTTAACCCTCCTGCTCCTGTTTCTCACAGGTTATAAGCCCAGCAATGTGCCTCTCCATCGGGTGTCGGATAGAGCGGCCGCCCCAGCGCCACTGGCCGAGCGCCAGCACAGTCCCTCTGTGCTCGCAGACAGCTTTGACAGGGCTGTGGTTGGAGCTCAGCCACCGCTCGGCAGAGCTCCCTAGAGTGCAACTGCACCGCAGGATGGAGGAAGAAAAATATCGTAGCAGCAAAGCCTGAGCTGCATTATCAAAGGAAGCCAAACCAACCAAGCGCAGAACCAGCCACAGGCATTTCTGCCAGCCCGACAGCAGGAGGAGTGAAAATGCTTGTGGTCTCTAAGCTGCCTGAGCCGCAGGGCGAGCTTTCGCTCTCTCTCAGGCTGACCTGTGCAAGGAGAGTTGGGTGCGATTTGCACTCAGATCTCGGGACGCCCCGAGCTGCAGAGGGACCTGCCCCGCTTCCAGCCGGGCTCCCCCAGCACGAGCTCTGCACCCTCTCGGGCCGGGATGGGGCATGGAAAAGAACCAGGACCCTGCTCCTAAACAACCTGAATATCAAATAGGCCCCTGCCCTGTAAGGACAAAACAGCAGCTAAGGCTGGAGTGCAACATCTAATCGAATTTAACTGAGACTTAAGAGTAAACAAAATCCCCTAGAATTGTGTTTCTCCTACCAAGGCTTCTCCTCGGGCTCCCTCCCACAAAGGCAAGTGTTCCAGCAATAGGAAAGGTAAGAGGCTGGGGCTTTTTTTCCTTGAGAAAAATAATCCCAGCAAGATAATCACAACGCATTCAGAGCGTACCCCTCCACAATACACGGTGCCTTTGCCAGTCCTCAAGTCATTTCTGTACTTGTAGGAACTGTGGAAGCCACTGCCAGAAGCCATTTTAGATCAAAACCAGGATCTGGGAACACTGCATAAATGGATGAGTTTTTTTATTGTCAGGCCAGGCAGGGCTGCTCACACCTGGGCCTTCCCAGATTTAGCATTTGAGCATCATCAAATAGTGGGTAAGGGATGCATCACCAAGATACTTCACAGGTCTTTTGTCTTTACTATAAAAGGCTTTTTGCATGATGTAGGAAGACAATAACTCTTCCTAACAGCTATTACAAGAAGATTAAAAATATAAAGTCACCTCGAGGACGAGCATAAGTATTCATGAACCCTTTGGCCCACCTTCAGTATTATTTCAGATTTGGGGAACACAGCAGAGCCTTCTTACTCAAAGGCTAGTATCTCACGCAGGGAGCCCTATGAACCCTTCCAGTACTTCTGTTTTGGGCACCTCTTGCAATGCTTGAATACATCACCCGGCTGCTCAGAGCCTCGCATGCTGTTTTCACACCACCGCCACGCCGCCGAACCACACCTCCCAGTGACACCCAGTTAAAGCAGCAATATCGGGAGGGATCTCAGGGACCAGTACTCACCAGTTTGCTAATACTAAAGTAGTGGCTCTGGAAATTATGGCCGCCAGACCCGCTGTGAAGACTGGTTTTACAAAGATACAAAACACCCTGGGTACTCTGCAGGACTGGACCCTAAAAACCACTTTCAGTTCATCTTCTTGCTCCCTGGATGGTACAGCGTGTTCTGGCCACTCAGCTCCCTTGGTCTACAAAGTCTAGCCCAGCTTACTAGGAAGGTTTACTCTACGCTGTATGGGAGACAGTATCCTTTCACTCATCTTCACAGAGGATATTATTTGTCACTTAGGCAGAAAAAGAAAATCCACCACTTTGGCACTAAAACCCAGTATTTTTGTATTACAAGTAACCTAGCATCTCACAGAGCAGATAAGCAAGTTCTGTTTTGATGCAGATGGACTATCTATGCAGAGGAAATCAATGAGTAGAAATTGGCATTTTTGTAGCTTTAGAAACTTGGAAGAGTCTGGGGAACAGACAAACTATTGACTTCCCTGCATCATCTCAACTGTACTCATTAAATAAGATCCCACACGTAGTAAAAACTCTACCATATGCGTGCAGAAGAACAAAGATTTTCAGAGCCTTTTATAAATGAAACCTCCTTTGTGGCTAAAAAAAAAAAAAAAATGTATCATGCTGCAACTAAAATATTACAGAGGCTGCAGCTGCACAAACAAATAAATGGTGTTTACCAGCAAAGGTATTTACTTACTGACAGTCAAGAAACGTTGGCTTGTAATAAAACGGTGGCATTTTAGATTCATATTTTGCTTTTGCTACATTGTTTCCATTCGAGGCCATAAACTGCAAAAAGAAGAGAAAAAACAGAAAGAATTAAAAAGTGTTGACAGTGTTTTCCCTTATCCTCTTTTGTTTCTAGAGAGTAATAAAATTATTGGGATGACCCTCTGTTCACTCACTGAGGTTTCCCCAGGACTGTGCACAGAAGGGATGCTGTAAAGGCTTTGCCTGCACACCAGGGCTCCGAAATTAATATTGATTATTATTGCCAGGGCTCCCACCAGCTTAATATGAGGCTGGGGACAAGTTCATGTCCCAGTCACACGTGCATTATCCCCGCTGGTCCCACGGGAGCAGAAGGCAGCACGCAATGGCATTGCCCACTCACAGGCATGGGAACGAGCTGGCTCCCAGGGAATCCAGCACAGAAATTAGGCAAGCAGAGGGCAAAACCCGACACTAACTTTAAGTCTCCATGCGTTATAGCTCCAGCAAGGTAATAGTCTCCGATGATACCCCCTTTGCTTTGGATCACATCACTTGTTCCGAAAGGATAATTTTATTTTTGCAAAGCCATGCCAGCAACCTCAGAAAGCAGCTTGAAGTATTAAAAATAAATGAATTTAAAAAAAGGTGAAAATTCTATCTGCCCTGACAGCCCTCTTTTCTTTCTGATCTCTTATAAAAATGGCTAGTTGAGAACACTGCAAACAAAACCACATATTTCCCTATTCATAAATTTTATTTAATGAAAATCACTTTATAAGTGTAAAAAACCCATCCTTTTCCAGGCAGCCATGCCAAATATGTTTTGTCTTGTATCAAATGCCAAGCATACAAGCAGCTAAGCTTTTCTTCCCCCCCCCCAAATTTTTTTTTCATTATTTTCATGTTTTAAGCTTCTCGAGTTTACATATTCAATCTATTCTCAAAAAAAAATCAGGGAAGGGAAAACCCATGCAACACAAAGGCTTATTTTCCTCATAAAACACATGACTGCATGAGCTGTGGCTTTCAGAAAAACCTCAAATCTACAACATACAAGATAAAGATCAATGACTGGTAGCGTTCTTCATGCCTTTAAAGACACCAATAGTCAAAGCATATAGGTTTCCTGGGTAGGCTTGCCTTTAGCAACATTACCTAAACCTAGGCAGGGGTGTTGCATAAATAGAGAGAATTTATACTGCGAGGGTTCAGTTCTTCAAGATGTGAGCTTAAGAGTCTTCAACGCTAAGTGGAACAAAGCCAGAAACAGCCAAGCTGGGCAGGGGTGGTAGACTAGAGGTCTAGCCTACCGTCTAGTCTAGGCTAGAGGTAACGTGAGAAACAGCAGGCAATTCATTTAAAATTAGTAATTTCTACATACTCTATTTAACTGATATTTTTATAGCTGTGGGGGAAACCCTCACAACTTCTTCATGAAATGACTATTCCATCTTCCATCAGCATCACGGACCTCATTCCCACATTCAGGAATTACCTAGACATGCTTTCTGAAATCACATTTGTTGTGGCATCTTGAGAAAGGACGCTGTTTTACAGCTTTGCTGGTAAAATGCAGCGACCCAAACTCACTGGTACTTCAAGTCTCAGACGCACGTACCTCCACTTGAGCATCATCCCAGTCATCCAGACGGACCGACTTCACTTTGCTGACTTGGGGAATATTGCGATGGATTCCTGAACAATTCAAGCAGATGAAGATCCCTAGGCTGTGGGATGCCCAGTCTGGGTCTGAAAGCAAGAAGGAAAGAGAGAGTTGCACTTGACTGGTCTATCGGATTCAGTGCAGGAGGAAGGAGAGATGGGGCAGGACAGGGCATGGCAGGGGAGTTCAGGAGTCACCAGGTCGGAGTTCCCTGATTTTAAAGGCACCAAATAAATAACCAAGCAAAAAACAGATACGTGTTAATTTATATTGATAGTTATACCAATTACACTGACAATTAACAGATTTGCAATCTCAGGTGCAGCAGTTACTCACAAAAACCCAATATACAGACAACTGTATATGCCCGAGACCTCCAAAACTCACTCCACGCTCACACGAAGAGAAGAGGTGAATGTCCATCTTTCATCAGCAAATCCCACCCAACGAGAGCCGCAGGGAACAGAAATCGCACAATTAAAACAAACAGTTCAGGGAAACCGCGATGCTGCTCCCCTGCCTTCCCCCCCCCCCGCAGTGGGAGTGCTCCACAGAGAGACTTTCCTCCCACAGCTACGGCTGCCCAGCAGCACAGCCCTCTGTGCCAAGAGGTTTCCAGCCCTTGCCTTAATGGAAAAAAGCTGCCAGTGGCAGCTCTGTACTTTCTCTGAGCAAAACCACGCGCTGTTTACAGCCCTGAGCTGATGTCTCACACAAAGCACTTTCAACACAAGTCCTTCGCCTCCAAATTCCTCCTCGGGAGAGGCATTGCCCAAAGCACGGGGAGACAGAGAGGAACCGGAGGAGGGCAGGGGCCGGGGGCAGGACACATCCACCAGTGTCCCTGGTGCTGCCTCGCTAATAAAGCCGATACAGGGATCTTTGTTTGAACTCTGACTAGCAAATGTCAGCGCCTGCTATTCCAGCTGCGCCCCAGCAGAAAGAGCTTCCTTCCAAGTCACCAAGTCAGCCACTAAATCCTCCACCTCCCCCCGACGGAGGTCCCCTCACCCCATCCTCCCCCAAACCTGCACGGGTGGGAGCACCCCGGATGCCCATCGCATCGGGCTGTCAAGGGGTAAGGGCAGGTCTTCCCTTCTCACAAACTGTCATAATTTGTTTATTCCCCCACAGTAATTATGCTAAACACTCACTCCTCACAGCACAGCAATTATTTATAAAAAGCAAGGGAACGCGCTTTCTCCTCCTTATACATATTTAATGGACTGGCTGTGTCGGTGCAGGGGGAGCAGGCTAGCGTGGGGCAACGCAGCTCCCCTGCGCGGGGCATCGAGGTCTGCTACCGGCCCCTGCCCACGGGGATGGCCACCAACTTCCCCCAACACACCCTAGAGGAGATTAATTCGGTTCCCCAGAGGTGGTTGTGTTCAGATATAAACCCATGAGCAAAATGAGCAGCCTCATCGGACGTGGCTGGGTGCCCACCCAGGAGAGGGGAGCAAATTCCCAAGCTGTTGCAAGTCCCATCAGCCGCAGCTCCCTTGGCACAGAGCTGGGACCAGCAGCCAAAAATAAAGGTGTATTTTTTCTATTTCACATGATCTCCCACCCTCATGTGAGACCCTGATGACTACAGCTCAGGCCTGGCAAATATAAATCCAGGCAAGTCGATTTAAGGACACCGCAGCAGCAACCAAGTGCTGCTCACACCCAGCAATGCCAGTGAGGGCACAGGGTGCTCTGCCCCACCGGCCCCGATCCCTGCACTCTCACCCGGGTCCTCCCACGATGACCGGGTGACTCGGCTTCACATCACACCCGAGGTCAGGCACCCCCACTTACTCTGACCGCAAAGATTGCTGCCAGTTGTTGGGTTATAGGTTGGCAACAAGAATCAAGAGTTTTGCACGCTCACGCACGTTTCTGTGCTTTAACTCCTCGTGCTGTCCTCTCCCATCTCCAAACACGTGGCTGTAATCAAGGTCTAGGACCTACCAAACTTCCTACCACAAAAATAGTCCAAGGTGCAGCACTGCTGCCCTGTGGTAGCCCAGGACCATGGGGCCAAACGATGCGAGTCAGGCAAAGTGAAAGCATCAGGGTCTCTCGTTGAAAAACCTCTCTCTGACTTCCACACAGAGGATCAGGCATGAGGAAGGGCGAGAGGGTCCAGAGGACGGAGTGGCCACAGAGCAGCAGCAGTGGTGAGGAAGAGGAAGCCGTGGCAGTGAAGTTTGGAGTTGGGAGCTAACATAGCCACCGGCTCCCTGTGCTCAGCGCAGCTGCTCCACAATAACCGTGCTTCAGGCCTTCCCGGTGTAACGAAATCTGATCAAAGCAGTGCCCGACTCAGGGAAATGGGTATCAAAGTACGCATTGGCCTCCACAGGTTTTATCGGGAGCCCCAACACTTGTATTATGTTAACAGATTTATCTTAGGCACGCAGGTGGTTTTCTTCATATTGTCTACAACTTCCTAGACTCAGGTTTTCAAAGTCCTCTCGAAGAAGTAACCCCTCCACTGCCTGCACTGCTGTGTGCGACAGGACCAGGAGACATCACACCTTCCTCCAGCCAGGGATGAGGACACATTTGGGTGGAGGAACATCCTGCAAGAAGATCCTCAGACTCTGACAGAGGAGACTCCAGCTCCAGTGGACACTGAGCCAACTCATAGCCAAGCCGTCTCTGCTTGATGTGGGTAAACAGCACCTCAAGCAATGGGTTTCAATCACAACTGGGGCTTTAAAGCATTCTCCTCACACCAACAGCATTTTCTTTAGACCAGACTCTTAAACATGCTTCCCCCCTGCTCCACACCATGTCAAGCCATGTCTAATTAAGAAAGCAAAAGCTGGACTATATCACAGAATCATAGAATCATATATGCAGGGTCACCCGTCCATGGTTTCCAGAAGATGAGAGTACTTCAGAGGAGCAGACAGAGACAACAGTGTCAGTGGTGACCCAACCCTTGGAAGGGATGCTCTCAGCTTGTTCAGTAAAACTACACACACCTGCTAGCTATCTCCTCCTGGTCACCTTCCTTTCAGTGTTTCCTCTCTTGCCTAGACCCAAGTTCCGTGTCCATCCAACACCAACAGCACCCCGCACAGCAAACTTCGAGGAGCACCATGACAGAGCTGCACATTTCACTTGACTCATCAGACCCGACACCAGCAGTTCGCATTGCTGCCGTATATTAATAGCAACTTCCTCTTCATTGCTCTTCTGGTTTTAAAATACATTATCTCTTAAATCCAAAATCATACGGCAAGGGCAGATGGAAGAGTTGTAGATGGTCCGCTGGTTGCATGCTGCTTTCCTGTGATGGCCACAGCCCAGAACGACACAAATTGGGCAATTGTTTTCAGTGCCAAAGGGAACACCAGGCAGGAGGAGAGTTCAAAGGCCTCAGGTGCTGAGTTAGCCCCATCCAAAAAATTGCTAAGTAGCGAAATCCCCCAGAACCAACTGGTCTACCAGGGGAAGTTTCTCTGAAATGTCACTATTACAACAATTTATTAGAGATGTCTCATGGCTTTTGCTCTCCTGGCTGAAGACATCGGACTGAGAAAGCAAGCCAGCCCAGGCCTTTCCTGGACTTCAGTTGAAAGCCAGAAGGAATTTCTAAGCATCGTCTGAACAAGCCAGAGGGTTACGGACCCACATGAGCCCTGGGGCTGGTGCAACCCTGTGATGCCCCATGCCACCGCTCTGCCCGTGGACAGGAAGGAGGAGGGTGGAGGATTCCCTGACTCTATCTTCTGGAGGGCTCTGCCAACGCCGCTTCCCCTTCTCACCCACTCCCTGCACTTGTGACACCATTTTTGAAGAAACCTAGCTACGAGACGGCTACACCCACACATCTTCTGCAGAAACTGGTGACAGATCCCCAGGCAGATGTCTGCTGGCCAGGGCGAGCACCCACTTCTGCAGGGATGCTTTTCCAAAGCCCTTTTGTAAGGTTTGGCGCTGTGGCTATGGCGCTCCCCAAGCGCACCACAGTCCCTCTCTCTTCATTTCTGCTCTCCAGCACAAACGACGTGAAAAATTCTCAGCTCAGGAACATGGCAGATAATGCCAGCAATCTCCAACCTCAGCATTATCACAGACTCCAACCCTTCAAATGCCTGCGCCATTGTTTCGAGATAAGACAACATCTTATCAAGCAAGCGAATAAATTCATGTAAGCGTCTTCATACAAGACAAGTGAGTTTTGGGGCAGCACCATTAGTTTAGTGAACCAGTGCCTCCAAGCTGTACGACTGGCAAGCTGAGGTCTCCGTAGCTAGGTGAAGTCCACCTTGCTGCTATACACTTCAACAGCTGGAACACGTTCTCCATGCCGGACATTACTGGGGAGTTCAGTAATTTTATTTAAACCATTTTATCTGGGCAGGACCCAAAAAAGTGCACTGAAATGGCAATATATCATAATCTGGACCTTTTGGGCACTGCCCAAAAGAGATGATTTTTTTCCTAAGCCTCCAGAGTTTCAAGCAAACAGCAGTGAAGCCTAAGGAAAACCCTCTGGCATGCCTAAGTTCGACACAAGTGACTTTATTCCGTTATTTCAAGTTAAAAGGAATAAAGACTAACAAGGAGCAAGGGGAATATTAAATCTGCTGTAAGTGCAGAAAGTCTCTTATCCTGCAGCATCATTGCTCCAGAACAACCGATGCCAGCTCTAGAAGGCTTTCACTGCCCAATGTGGTAGAGATTTCTGGTCACTTATAAACAGATTATAAAGACTTTAAAAATAAAAACTTGGTGCAACTTAATTTTAAAAGTTAAGTAAACAAAGTTAAACTAAACTCAGGAGAAGGGCATTGGGGTGGTATTTTCCCATGTCATTCATATGAAAGGGAAGGCACAGCCAGAGATTAGAGAAGCATCCAAAGTAAAACTAAAACACTTGGGCAACACAGCTAAATTCAGAAATTAACTTCACCACCCAGCCCCTTTTGCCACCAAAAGCCCCAGGAAAACCCAGCGCAGAGAACAATGAACTCTGCAGCTTGAACCCAACGTTACTGAGCGTAAGAACAGCCCACAGAGGGAAAAATGAAG